CAACTGCGAGCTCCAGGCCCAAGTGTTCCCTGCCGGACCTCAACCACAGCACACAACCACAACACAATCACAAACACATAACCACAAACACACACAAACACACAGCCACAAACACAACCAGAAACACACAACCACAAGCACACCACCACAAACACACGACGACAAACACAAAACCACAAACACACAACCACAAACACAACCAGAAACACACAACCCCACAAACACACAACCACAAACACACAACCACAAACACACAAACACACAAACACAAAACCAAAAACACAACCAGAAACACACAACCACAAACACAACCAGAAACACACAACCACAAGCACACCACCACAAACACACGACGACAAACACAAAACCACAAACACACAACCACAAACACACAACCACACAACCACAACCACACAACCACAATCACACAACTGCAAACACACAACCACAAACACACAATCACAAACACGCGTCCGCAAACACAACACACTACAAACACAATCATAAACACGCAACCACAAACACACAAACACAACACACCACCAACACAATCACAAACACGCAGCCACAAACACACAACCACCAACACAATCACAAACACGCAGCCACAAACACACAAACACAAAACCACAAACACACAACCACAAACACACAACCATAAACACACAACCACAAACACAAGCCACAAAAACACAACCACAAACAGTCTAGCTTCGCTCCGTCTTTTCCTGGCTCTCCTATGCCACGGGACGGGGAAGTCCCAATGGCTCTCAGGGGCGCCTTCACGTGTCGACGTGGAGTTCAAGAAGTTCCCAACAGCTGGCGAGTCTTGAGCCCTGGTTCCTGCTGAGAATCCAATGGCTGGCTGCGCCCTCCAACACACCAGGGTCGCAGCCCGCCGCGGTTGACTGAAACGCCCTCGCTCGGAAGTACGAATTCAGTTTTCTCGTGAGCCGATCATACTCCACCACAGTTGCGGGGCCCGACTCATCATGAAACGATACGAAGTGACCTACGCCTGGGATGGGAGCCTGGGTGTGCATGACATGGAAAGCCTGCGGCATGCCCAGTGCTGTACCGGGCGCCAGATCACACCCTGGTCCTGGTGCCCCAGGGGCGACATGCATCACCAAGTTAATGCCCATCGCCTGGGCCAAGTTCCGCATCTGTTGAATGGTGATTGGCATGTAACCTCCTCGCACCAATATTGTCAGCCTTCGAGGGTTCAGGAGTGGTGCAACCAAATTCCCTCTCGTGGTAGTCCTCTTATATTGCCCAAACCTGTTGCTCCAGTGCATCCGATTTCCTCGCCTCAGGCCGAAGACTGCAGCTTCACCGTGCTTCACCTTCCGTAATATACACAGCTAGGATGGTCAAGATATTAGTGTCTACTGGACCACCATACCTAGTGTAATTCCGGTCCCGCTGCAAAGCCCTCGCCACCATCGTGAAGTTCACCCCCCCCTGGGTATGCTCCACCAAATGCAGGCGCTTGAATCTCCCAGGCTGGAAACTCGAGAACCACCCTCCCATTGGCATCCTTCACCACTCCTTCAGGCAATAACTCATTTTGCCTATTGTCCTCCTCAACCTCCACGATTTCAACACCGACTAACGCATCGTGGATATATTCTGTGAGCGCAAAGGCAAGCACCTCGGCCTGTAGCTTAGCCTCGGCGTCATCCACAGGCTCAGTGGGACAAGCGCCTGCACGCCACAGCTCCTGCCTCGCCCTGCTTTGAAAGGGTGCATGAGTCTGCCACTCACTGCTCCACACGCACACGCAGGTCTAAATCTGGGGCCCTCAAATGTGGGGGCAGCACCTGCTGAGTAATCTTGAAATTCCTCCTCCTGATTTTCCAGAATCCAGCATGCTCTCCGTCGCCTCCCTACATTCGATGCTACCACCACCTGCCCTGTGAGCGTGTTTTGGGCCCCAAATAACCCTGGAGGCATCCACAATGGTTGTTCATCAAACTCTTTCCACCCCTCCAGGAATGTCTTCGTGGATGGGTTCCTAGTGAACCTCAGCCCAATAGAAAAGTCTTCAGACTGTTTTTAATTACATGTGGTGCACTATAGCCATAGCAAATCATAGCAAACTGGTGAAACGGATTTTTCAACGGGAACTCCTCACGGTACTCGCGCGGATTTTGCAAGCGCGACGTGACGACGACATTCCAGGCGAGCTGCGATGATGGAGAGGCCACTTTTGCAAGCCACAGTCTTTCCTGAGCACAGCATGAAAACATATCAAAGCTATACCAGGGCTTTCAAGGGGTGGTTAACGGACACTTAACGGCTAAGGGGCTATAAATAGACACCCCTTGGAGGGTCCTGGTATACATATCATACTTTGTTTTAGCCATGATGTCCACAAAGTCATGGCTGAAAAGGCATGAATGCGCCTGACAGACAAAGCACCAAGTGCCTACACAGGTCCCGTGGCGGCATGCAGGAGCCATCCAGTTTCCACCAGATCACATCAACACCAGGCAAAACACTGAAGAACTTGCTTTGCTCTTGAGTTTGGCAAGGAATGCAAACAGCACCTCGTGCACCCACACACATTCACCCACCAAGTAGCCAAAAGAAAACTCCTTCAGCGTCTGATGACTTTCCTGTGTTCTTCCGTGTGTTCTCCACCCTCGGTCAAGCTACCAACCTCCGCTCTGCAAAAACTGCTCGACCCGTCTGCGGCACCTGAGCTGGTGGACGATCGACATTGACGGAGGTGGGCTTTCTGTGACGTCTAAAGACCTCTAAAGGAAGAGGAGTTCTTACCTCACCCCAAAAAATGAAATGATCCTTAGGATTCCAACGACCATTGATTTAATAGTTTGAACATGTTTAACCAGAACAACCATAGTTTACTGAGGAATTTAGACTACAACACCAACTTTCCTTTGAACAGGACTTGAAGCTATAGGGATATCATGTCTCAGCTACCCCCCGTTGCGTGGTCTTTGTAAACAGCTGCGAGCGGCTCGAGCAAGGCTTCGGCCGGAGAGGAGGCGCTGCTGGGAGGAGCAAGGCAAACGAAACCCAAACGACTCCCATCGCTCAAGGTGGTCCAGCCTCGCGCGAGGCTGAAGGGGAGTTGTAGGTGCACTTGGGTGCAAACGCTTGGTGAATCAAAGCCTGACAGAGATAAACACCTCCACTAATGGGGGTTGAAATATTATTCAACCATATAGATGCTTTTTGATGAATATGACGGTGGGCATTATCGGTTGGTCATGGTTGAACAATTCATGCCATACATGTCAGTACCAGAGGGAAAATCCAAGAAGAACAAAACCGTGTGGTTCTCAAGCCCTTCAAGAAGCCAAACCCTCGGGTAATTAATCGAAGAAACATTGCCTGTTGGAAGGTAGGGACGGGCTGCTTATCCACTCACTGGATGGATCTCAAGAGTACTGGATGCTTAGTAATCCCAACTGGTGCCATGGCTGTAGTTCCATGCGCCGAATCAGTGTGTGGTTCTCAAACATCCCTGGGAAGGACACCCACTTAGATCTTGGATTTGCTTGAGGAACTTTGAAAAAAGAAAGTACGCGTCTTTCCCATGAAGGGTATTCATCCACAAAGAATCTTCCTCCTAGGGTCCAGGTACCTTCCTGCTGATGGTCGAAGATGAAGGGTATCGGTGAGGTCGTACTGAAAAACGGGGCGAAAAACGGAGCGAAGAAACGGAGCGATCCAATTCGAGAGATCTTTTTGGTCCAATCGTCAGACCCAGAAACCTCTGACACACCGAGTCCAGCTGGCTCGTTCGCGGTTTTCCAACGGCATCTCCTTTACCAAATAACCTTACCCTCCCTGAAAATGCTATCCACTTTCCATCACTTTTCCAGCTGAAGGGCACCAAAAGGCCAAACGGTACAGTTCATTTCACGCCCCAGTCGTTGCATTTGCGTGGTTGATGCTTGAAAAAATCCAACTCCGGCATCTCCGCGACACCCCTGTTCACCACCACCATCTCCGTCGGTGGCCTTCTGCGTCGCACGGAGCTTGGAGCCCATGCTTGCGCAGGGAGCTGACTTCTGCATCGCCGGGTTTCGCACGAGCGGGGAGCCGCAGGACCACCTGGGTAAGACTCAGAGGACCACCTGCAGGGAACAGTCTGGAATTGGTCAAAAAGAACCTTTAAATTTGACATGACATGGACATCCAAAAGAATGGGACATTCCAAATTCTGAGCTAAGATTTGATTTCAGGAAGTGTTATTATAGGTTTCTTAAAATGTATTAAATAACTACAACATATAAATAGTATATAAATAGAATCCACGAGTATGATCCATTGCATACATCTTGCTTGAATTCGAGCACCAGGCGTCTCACAAACATCGATCAATTCACCTTCCCTCTGCACGGGTTGAAGGACATCCGTTGCCATCACGCCAATCTTCGGAGCCCAGACCGTCCATGTCTCCCAAACACCATGGGTCTGGCATACTTACCGAGCAGTTGGTTGAAAAGGCGTCAGGTGAGCATGGCAGTCCCATGGATGGTCTGGGAAGAATCGTTCGCTTGTTATGAACAAAACATCTGGGGTGAACATCGTTCGCTAGATGGTGGACCAGGGCTCCAGGTTTAACCCATCCCCACATCTGTCCCAAACAAGCTTCAAGATAGGTCATTCTTAGGAGTACCTACGTGACCCTAATTACATGTAAAAAGTCTGGGCATATGTCAAAACATGATCTATGGTTATGTACACAATTTGAAGGCCATACAGTACGGATGGTATTGAGACCTGAGAGTAAAAACCGTGTGATGCGTGAATTGAAATAGTGTCATGAAGTGCTAGTAAAGTGAGACCACAGCCCACTGAGCAAGAACATCTCCGTTTTGATGGATATTGATGGGTCTACAGGCAGCTGTCGGAAATCATCACAAATCACAACGATTAAGTTGTCTTGGAAAAATAACAACATGTCAGAACACGAGACAAAATCCTTTCTGACCCCACTGTGCTCCACTCTTTTAAGAAGTTAGATTCGAGCTCATGCCCTCAAAACTCCTGGCTCAACTGCCAAATCCTTTAGAGAACCTTAGAGAACCTCTTCTAAAACTATCACCTATAATTAGGACTTGAGCAGATTTCTAGCTCCATTCGTTTGGTTTCTTTAATCCACAAACCGATCTACGCTCACCAAGACACAATGCCAGGAGCATCTTGCAATCGTGGCTGCTCCATGATGCGCTTCGCGCTCCATGGACGATAGCCAGGTCGTGCAAGCAGCGATGTTGGACAACTTACTTGTGAGTCTCACGCTGCAACTAAAAAGGCTGTTCCGATGGTCCAATGCCACGTCAGCTTATGTCGGCATCAAGGAAGAAGGTGCTTTGACGATCTTAGTCTTAGATACCAGTTGACTGCAGTAGAACAGTATAGCTGTTATTGTCCAGCCATGTGAGTGGTCCTTTCATCAATGTCATCATGTCCTGGTCTTCGGTGTTTCGGTCTTCAGGCGCGAAGACGGCGGGTTACTGATGACTGGTGACTGGGGTGTCCTACTCCCCAGCCTGTGGGCATATCGCTCCCCAAGTCACTCCTCGACCTGGAGACTAAAACAGCTTCTGGTGAAAAACAACAACAACAAAACAAACTGAGCGTTCAACATGGTAATGGCTCAACACCGGGGGACCTTGGTTGACCAATCAAAATGCGGGCAAGCAAACCCTATGATGGATCCACAAACCGAACCTGAGAAGTTGATTGGGTACACTTGTATGTAGGCTTGGAGGGTCCAGTCGTACCGAACCTGAGAAGGCATGTGGATCCCTATGGGCAGAGTTTCGAAGTAGTCGATCTTGCCTCTCATCCCCCACACGAACCCGAGAGCTCTGAGATGCTGTGAGAGCCGGTGATGTCACCAAAGGTTTCGGAGCCTCCAGGTTTGGACTACAGAACCGGTGTGTGTCCACCGTCCCCCAAAAGCCTCCATCAGAAATTCACACCTCACATGCATAATGACAATAAATAAGATTAAATAAGTACATGATCAACATGAACCCAGAATATGACATCGAATCGGTCATGTCCCTACCAACCCATGATCACTGAGCGGGTATGCCACCTGCAAGCTATTAGCTAAAGACTTGTAAATCTCAATTTGAAGTGCTCTCCTACTTTGAACAAACCGTTATCAGCATCTGCATACCGTGAAACTCGGAGGGACTCGGACCCTTTTACTGACAGTTCACCAGAAGTTCTGGGACACCAACCCCCCAATTCACCCGATCTCCCCCATTCACCCGATCTCTCTTCCTCCTGGTGGATGTCCATGTGGTGGCGGATGGCCTCCCTCATGAGGGAGTGGCCCATACCCAGGTGGTGGTGGCCCATATCCACCGTACGGTGGCGGGTAGCTTGGCGGCGGGTGCTCGTAGCCGCCATAGCCGTGCGGTGGCGGGGGGTAGCCGTGCGGCGGCGGATAGCCGTGCGGCGGCGGATAGCCGTGCGGCGGCGGATAGCCGTGGGGTGGCGGATAGCCGTGGGGTGGCGGATAGCCGTCTGGATGCGCTGGTGGATGATCATAAGGCCTCAGCCACATCGGCCATGTGGAAATCACCGGAAATCGCCCTGCTTTGATTCAGTTCTTTTTTGGCCCCAAACGTGTAGATCTCAGTTCCAACATCATGACGCCGCTTCTGGCTAATGGAGCATGCAAGGTGTCCAAAAGAAGGAAGGCACCCAAATGCATGAAACTTGGAAGGGTTCTTGCTGGAGCACTTGCAAGGAGTGGCTGTGGAGGCACTAGACCTGTGAAAATCTATATATATATATATATAATATGCCTTAATTAATTATATAACAGCAATACTATAGATATCATACAGAAAAAAATGTGTCATGTATATATATATATTTTGCTACAATGTCAGCACCACCCAGTTCGGGTGGTTCCACCATCCCTACCTCGTTGACCGACCATTCGTGCTTTCCATCTGGGCCCATGAAGACAAATGACAAAAGAAACAAAATCCTCCAGGAGTCACAAAGGGGTGGTGTTTAGTCCCTAAGTGAGTGGATAATGGGCACCCCTAACCTCCATAGATCGCACCCCTTTGTGACTGCTGGCTGTCATTTCAAACAACACACCGAACCGACCGATAGATCCTGCGCACCGACCCCTCGGCCCCGAACGGTCCCGGGGGACGGTGGGGTGGAGGCGGACCGTCGTACCTAGGTACGGCGGAGAGGGGGTGGTTTCCATGGACACCCCAGAAAAGGTCTACTTAGAGCCATTAGACACCCCTTAGGCTTAGGGGGCCTCAGATTTATGGGCTTGTAATCTGTTTTAGTGGGGGCTGACGCACTCAGTTGATTTTCTAAGCTTTCTCAATGTGTACTTGTTCAATGGGGAACATGGGGAAACCAATGAGGTGATCCACTGAGTGGGTAGCTTTCAAAAGCAGGTTTAGATTTGCTGACTCCTCTCAAAAGCGTTAATTAGGTGTTGTTTTGGTGGAAGTTTCTCTGACCAAAAGGGGAGAAGAAACAAACACCGCATCACCCAACCGGCCATTTGCCGCAATCGACCCCACCGAACCCAGGGGGTTTCAGGGCCTGAGTTCTGCTGTCGCGCTCGGTGGACGTAGATCGATGGTGACCACAGACTGCTCACTGCCGCTAGATGAAAAAGGTGGAGACTTGTGGAAGTACTCAAGGTGACTCCTGAAGTACTTTCTACAGGGCAAAAAAAACACATCCATGAAAAATCCTCCGAACCCCACCCTAGCCACCTTTTGAAACCTACAGGGCTTGACTGTCTGATTCAGACTTGAAGTCTGAACTAGACTGGAGCCACGATGACAGGGATGACAGTGACCAGACTACTCGATCGCTGAAAAATCTATCAGAAACATGCAGTTTTTGTGACTGGACCGACAGGGGCTCCTGTCCCACCTCAAAAGGTACTTGACCTCCTGGCACCCAGCCCAATTACCTGGAAAACAGATCGTTGGAATTTGTAGGGATATGTATATGTGCCCGACAATCCATGAATGGAATATTTATATACCTACATTGGGGTGGTTGAACATGGGCTCAATGTAGGTAAATATCCACATTGCTGTCCTCTGTATATATGGAATATACACGGATCTAATTCCTTCGGTCAACAGTCGCTGTTTCCTGCCGTCAGTGAGTGCCAGGCACTCACTCTCAAAGTTTCAGTCCCTGATGATCAAGACAAACATCAACTGGGTATGTGGATCCCTAGGGCTCCTGGCCCATCTCCTCAGGTTCGGTGGTTAGACCCCCCTGGCACCCACCCCTGTCCCATCTTCGAAACGGAGGTGGTTGGAACCCTAGGGGATATACGCACGTATGGAACACTTGGATGTGTATGAGGAAAACACCAGATTGACCCCGCGGGAGAAGGAAACACCACATAACACCCTATTCCAATATGTTCCGGTACACACCCTCTGTCGTCTTTTTCAGGCTTCACCACCCAGAAAGACACCCAGCCAAATGTCTAAATCCCTGGACTGTTTGATTTTGGACAGTTGCTGTGGATTCCTGTATGTTGTTTGGGATGGGTCAACAAAACTACAACACATCACACTATACACTACACTACTTACTACTTGTGGATCTATACATTAAGCATCCCGTGAACAAAATTCAAGCAGTTGTTCCATGGTCTCTTCAGGCAGATTTACGGTCATCTTGGATTTCCCCTCAAACAAACGGGATAACTTAACGTTTTAAAACATCTTCTGGTGGTCCGCTCTGGAACCGAGAATATCACCATCACAACCCCCCAAAGCGCTCCAAAACCAGGTCATGCTCGAGCCGATGGAAAAATTCTTGACCCACTTGGCCGGCGCACCCACCCGGTGGCGGCCGCCCATGGGGTGGCGCACCTGGGGAAGAACGGCAGTCTGAAAGATGGAAAGGGGTCCAAGATTGTTTTGCAAAGGAAACGATCGAAATGCAAACCAAAAACACATGATAGAATAGATGGCGGATAATGTGTTTTTTCCTTTGAGTCCATGATTTCATATCCATAAACATCATGAAAGAATGAAAGGGACTAATGTTAATAAGTTGGTCAAACTTTGTCATATGAAACTAATTTGTACTCAAAAATAACTAGGTTCATATGATGAAGTGCCCCAAACCGTACCTTCTCGGCCTTTTGGCTATGATCAAGTGCAAGTGTAGTATCTGTTGTTATCAGTGTAACAACTGATACCCCAATCCAACATTCTCTGCATGACTGAACAGGTGACCATGGACTGACCTGGACACTTGCCTAGTCGACCGCCCCCGTAGCACGTGACACCACACAAACGGCCTTGCGCTGGTGGCTCACTACCTCAGGGCAGAGATCGACCCAATCCAAGCTGCAACCTACTGCAGATCTGTCGAACCAAATTGGATCGCCAAGAGCATCATGTAGCTTTGGCGCCGATGAGCCTTGCATATGTTGTTTAAAAGACACATCCCAGTGGATCCCAGTTACTCTTATATATATACAAGGATTCCCAAGCAAATGGCATCAGCAAAAACATATCTATATGCCAAATGTTTAGGAAAGAAAACATCAAACAGCATAGGGGAAATAATTGGCACAAACAGATGGCAACTTGAGCTGACGAAAGATGCAACATTTCTAGGTCTACGGTGTCTGGGTCTTTGGATCCACTGGTTTCTATTAAAATAGTGGTAACTGGATCCAGCATGTCATGTCAATCAATAAAAACAAATATTAATTTGTTGGGCCAGCTTTGAATCACTATTTCCACCAACTTAACATGTCCATAGACCTTCCTGATCTACAAGCCACCCACCTTCAAATTTATCCAGGTGCCCAATTCAAGACATTAAACTTCAATTAAGCGCTTGGAAAAGGCCAAGTTGGTTTCTCAACTGAACACGGCTTCGGTGTGCCAAGTTTTGGGGCGACATGTCATGCTCCTCTCAGTCTTGGGTGAATTGGCCACGTCAAGAACGATCAACGAAGCCCCCGGAATCCCTGGCAAATCAGGCTCTTGGCTTAGAAAAGGGTTGAAAGTAGCGCTTGGCTTGGTTCCGTCCTCTGACCTAGTCATGTCTGATCGCATCGGATCGTGTTCACCGCTTGTCACAACTTCAAGCAAATAGTGCAAGTGCAACTGCGTAATGATGTCCTTCTCTGAGAATCACCAAAAGCAACCCAAACCATCCCAACGCAGACTCTT